GCTATGATGAGTCGAGGTCGGAAGAGCCGAGCAGTGAGTGCCAGCTGGTCATAGTCAATGAGGCCGGTTTTGGGCTGGACAGACAGACAAAAAGCTAAAGCCCTAAGAAGAAAGCAGGGCAGCTCCTCACAGCTCCCTCCCCACACCCTAGAGCACTCACATTCAGCTTATAGGGCATAGACTCGAAGAAGATGGATGTAGCTGAGATCCGCTTAACATCAGACATGTAGCCGTGGGTGAGACTGGGACGGGAGGAGAGGGAGTAGGCAGGTTCAGAGTGGGATAACTCTCAGACTTAGCCACTCCCTTCCTGCCCCACTCCAAAGGCCGGGGTCTCTGGAACACTGCTCTTAGCAGGCACCACCCTCATGGCTCCGGGCACCGCTTTCTGGGGTCTTATCTTCCTCATTCACTGGAACTCGCAGGACTGGGAGAGCCCTGTTTCATCCGCATGGAACACTGTAGGTGTTCAACAAATTACCCTTCTCCCACACCCATACTGCCTACAAGCCCATCACCCACCCCATCTATACTCACTGGCCCCCATCGGGCAGGTCCAGCCCCATGATTCGGTCATGAGGCTGCAGAAGGGCTGTGTAGGCAGCCAGGTTGGCTGGGGACCCCGAGTAAGGCTGGACATTGACTCCCCACTGAGCAGGATTCAGGTCAAAGGCCTCCAAGGCCCGGCGCTGACACAGCAGCTCGATTTCATCCACTACCTCTGCTCCTCCATAGTACCTGCAACGGGAGGGGAGTAGATCAGGGCACAGAGAAAGGGTTCCACCATCCCCCTGGACCAGCAGCAAAGGACTGGGAAGGCCACTTCTCTATGCACACTAGGAGGGTACAGGCAGGTGTCCCCCACTGGGATCACCATCCCTGAGGCTGTCCTCCAGCCTTCTGGTGCCTAGCCCTCACCTCTTGCCAGGATAACCCTCCGAGTACTTGTTGTTCAGACAGGACCCCAGGGCCTCCAGCGCAGCTCGGCTGCAGAAGTTCTGGGGTGGGGGAGGGGGCAATGTCAGAAGGTATTGAGCCCCCTTCCCTGGATCCCACAGCCCCATCATGCCAGAGCCCCAGGCTTCAGGGAGGAGCCGGGTTCTACAGAAAGCTCTGTTCATTTAGGATTCCATGCCAGGCCTGGGGCAGGGCCAGAGCAGCATCCTCAGAAACCCAGCTGCTGTGATAGGTGTCTCCAGCAAGGCCACCTGTCCAGTTGAACCTGTGCTTCCAAGCTTCTCTTTCCTCTTGGGATGGAAGAGGGACCAGACTAAACTATAGGAGCCCTGGGAGGCTCTGGAAGCTTTCTAATGCCCCATCCCATAAGCCAGACTGGCCCTGCCTTTGCTTCAGAGGTCAGTAAGAAGAGAGGAGGATGAGGTCCAGCAGGAAGGCCCTGAGTCTGAAAGGGAGAGCTGGAGAAATAGCAGGAAGATGACCTGTTACTTGCAGCACCCACGGTGGCCTAAGCCCTGGCCCCTCTCCCAGGCCCCACCTCTGAAGCAATGAGCTCCAGGCCACGACACTGCCTGTCCTTCTCTCTCCGTAGCAGCTCCCACATCTCAGGGTCACTGTCCGATAGACTCTCCTGGCCTGACCAGCCCTTGGTTGCTTCTCCAGTCTGCGTCTGGGCTGCCTCGCTGTGCTGGCACCGTATGGCCATCCTGGCCAGCCGACCACATCTCCGCAGAGGCTGGGGGAGGAAAAGACAGGGTCAAAGAAAAAGTGCCCAGACAAAAACAGTCAACAACCCTCAGCCATGCTTATCAGGCCCTCAGGCTCCATATCCAGCAGCCAGTTGTCTCGTTGGTCTGTTCCAGTTCTCACCACTCCCACCTCCACCTTCAAAAGCCAGTTCTAGAGCCAAGGTTGAGATCAATGTCCAGGGGGTGGTTCTGATTCGGTCCATTCACCTCACCTCAGACTCTCCCTCCACCTCTGCCCTTGAACCACTCTGCAAAGCCTCGGGCAAAGTCTGTCCTCTAGAAGCCTATGTCTCTGCAACTCAGGGGCAGTCCCCACGCACAGAAACACATGGTCTTCCTGCAGAGCCTTCACAAAGTGATACCCCAGTCAGGGTGGGAGGCAACCAAACTGGCAAGAGTTAGGGCAACGAGCTGTACAGGTGGTTTCCTGAGCAACGGAGGTGGCAGGGTAGACCTTCAGCAGCCCCTGGGGAAGAGGTGTGTGTACGGGGTTGGGGGTGGACTGCTGGCAGGGAAGCCAAAACCCACATCTTGTCTTTTGTGCTCCCCACTCTTTCC